CCACCCACCCCCGCCATCTCTGCCATTTTGGCTGTCCTGCACCCTGCTTTGCAAGATGGCAAGCAGCCACATAAACACATGGCTCTGAGGTTGCTTGCCATGCCTCAAAAAGCCACAGCCACGTCAGCCCAATCCCAGCCACCGTCTCCATCACCACCTGGCAGTCCGCGATCCCTGCTGCCTTACAGTTCACTGCCTCAGCTGGCCTTTGTCATCTTCTTTCTCCTGCTGTTGATGAGGCATGCCCAGCCTGGCTGGGGCTGCTCTAAGTATATATATATACTTGTTATATATATAAGAGAGAGAGCAGCCCCAGCCAGCCCCTATATATATATATATATAAAGAAAAAGCAGCCCCTGAGCCACAACATGCCAAAATGCCCCTTGGCCATGCTCCTGAGACTTACTGGGGCTGGTTTTGTGCTGCAAAAAAGGAGAAAAAAGCAAAAAACAGCACGACCCAAGTTCATGCTGCAAAGGGGCATTTTGGCACCCTGCAGCTCAGGAGTTGCTTCTTTCTGCCTCTCTCTCTCTTTTGTAGCACAAAGCCAGCCCAGCCCAGCAGACAGGCCTGGCATGCCTTATCAGAAGCAGGAGCAAGACAGTTAAGGGCAGCTGGGACAGCAGAGTGTAGGGTGGCAGGGTGCCAAAAGGGCATAGATGGGGGGAAAAAGGCAGCTGAGAAGGGTTGAAGAGCCCCTGTGGTTATAAGTGTGGAAGGGCTGCTAAGCATCTGAATTTTGATTATATGACCCTGTGGGCACTGCAGTCACCATAACCTTGGGCAACAGTTGTAAGTCCCTTTGTTCAGCACCACCGTAACTTTGAATGGTTGCTGAATGAATCGTGTAAGTCAAGGACTGCCTGTACTGCTTTTTAAAATAATTTCTTTAAAAAAAAAACCCAGTTGTGTATTTTGTCTCCCTTTTCTAAGAAACCTCATACTGTATCATATCTACCTGAGAATAAATTACAATGTTCACTACAGGGGAAATGGTGATTTTATATAGTAGTTTATGAATACTAATTTTGAACAAATTTTATACGCTAGCAGATGAAACATTGGGTCGTGCATACAGCATAGTTCTATTTGTAGCTAAGTGTGGAACTTGATGTAACAAAGGACACCCTACTGGTTTTACATAGAAGTTGTTCATGCGGAGGTGTAACATTGGACTCTTTCTAAAAAAGCTATTGCTCTTATATAGCTTTGAACCTGAAAACCCCACAGCCTCCTTTTACAAATTCAATCAGTTTCAAACTCTAATCCCAGCATTGTTCTAAAATGAAATTTTTGAAAAAAAGAATGTTTCAGAAATATAAAGATAGAAAAAGCATTACTAATCAGTGTTGTTATATTCAGCTTTCAGCCAGTGAAACTATCTGTAGGAAGACATTAAGATATATAAGAACCAGAATGGTATCGTGGTAGAGTGCTAATCTAGGAATGGGGAGAGTTAGGAAGCCGTTCTCTTGTAGAAAGCTGGTTGAATGCTTAAGACTGGGAAGTAGAGAAACATCTGTCTACTGGTATACACTGGACCAGCATGATGGAGTATAGTTCAGGCCTTTATCCTGTAGTACAGGAGTCCCCAATCCCTGGGCCATGGACCGGTTCTGGTCTGTGACCTGTTAGGAACCAGGCTGCACAAGTGGTGGGCAGGCGAGTGAAGCTTTACCTGTGCATATGGAGGATCTTAGGTTGCATGCAAAATCCCCCCGCACTGATCCGTGGAAGAATTATCTTCCACAAGACTGTTCCATGATGCCAGAAAGGATGGGGACCAGGGGTTGGTTCTACTTACCTTTACTACCGGTTCGCAATGGGGCCGTACGCACTCTTCTGCACATGCGCAGAAGCATTCTGATGACATTGGCGTTGGTGGGTGGAGCCTCCCGCTGGTACGGGTTCTATAGAACCGGTGCAAACCAGGGACAACCCATCACTGGTGGGGACCACTGCTGTAATAGACTGATTTTGAGGTGTGTGTTTGTGAGAGGGGGGGAGGGAAGGAGAGGGGGAGGGGGAGAGAGACCATACTAGCTATAATCCAAATAATTTAGAGCTAAGTAATATTCAGATGTGATAGATAATTGTATTATACCTATCCTATGGCTGCAGTAGGGAAGGCAATCTTTTGCTGACTAAGTGGTAGACTTAACTGGGCTAGGTAGGTGAATGCCTCAGAATGGAGGGGACCAAGTTTGGGAAGGAGTTTTGGGAAGCTTATTTAACTGTCACATGCCTTTTTAAAGACTTTCATTGTAGTGTCGTTCTGTAGTGGTTCTCAGATGTGAAAAGATGCTCTATCTGTGAAAATAAATCCCTTTCTTTCTCCTACGGTGGTTGAAGAAGCAGATTTGTACCAGTACCACAGCTTCTGCCCTTTCCAGTGCCCCTCTTCTTCCTGCTTTTCAAATAGCAGTATTCATATCAAGAGTTCTTCCTAGTTGCCTTATTCTTTGTCCTTCAAACACTCTTTGGCTCCCTTCCTAGGTAGGTAAAGCCTGGCTATTTAAGGCTGGTATTCACTCCTGCCTTTCTCCTTGCTACTTGAAGGACACTTCTTGCCCTTTGCTTTTGACAGGTTGAGGGCTGGATATTACTATAAGCCACAGGATTGCAAGACTTGGCTGCAGCAATCCTTCTTAGCGGAGTGTATAGGTTGAACCTATAGATAGAAGGTATCATAGCTTCAGGCATTTGTTTTTGGAGTGAAGCCTGACTGACTCCTAGAAAGGAGTGATATGAAAGACTACTCAGTTAGTCTAAGCTGGTGGCACACTGAGTTCCTATAAGTTTGTGTAGGGTAGTTGTTTGGCAATGTGTGCCTCGCAGGGAAGGAATGAGTCATATGAGAGTCATTTCGTGTCCAACATGCTATTTTTCCTTTCAGCTCTTGATTCACAAATAAAGGGATCTTGTGACAAAGCCTGGCAATGTATCACTTTTCTTTCCTCCTCCTCCTCCTCTTCTTCAAAGGAGAGGGAGAGTGGTAACATGCTGGGTTTTTTTAACAAGTTAACCCAATGCAAATAAATAAAAGGAAGGGGATGGGCAGTTTCCTGCAAATGTATTCTGTATATGCAGCGACATGGTGCTACAAATTAAGGGGAAAGTTCATGTCAGGAATCACAAGTCTGTTCAAACAAAGTAACCAAAATACAATATACCTGCGCCTTGCCTCCATGCATACAGAGTGAAGCTGTGATTGTAATGCTGAAAAGCAAGAAAACCATTTCTCAATCAAATTTTGCCTTGAATTTTTTATTTTTTTTGAAAAGAGAATGTTGAATGTGATGAGCTTGGACATGGCCTAGGGGAGAGACACATAGGGAAAGGGATACACATCCAAGGGTAAAACAGGGAAACAATTGTGAAAAGCATCTACAGGAAAAGGGGGGAAATGGAGTTGGAAAAGGTCTTACATAATGAATAAGCTATGAACTGCTAAGTTCTTCTTCAGACCAACTCATTCTACTCTTAAAGCAAGCCACAATTGCTCCATCATTCTCTCTCTTTTATTTAACAACAGAATTATCTGAAAACCTCTTTGGATTTGTTCATTCCCATCCTCTCCATTATTAAACTTAGGCACCAATCAAAGAACTAGGTGTCACAATGTCTTCTTGATATCTCATTGCAAGCATCCATGACTGTCCTGGTGGTTTTGTTTAGATACTGAATGACATTTGGAGGGGGTGGAGCTCTTTGGTTCTCCAACACTATCTTCTGGACAAAAATGCAGTTAAACAGAATCACCAAAGCCCAGTCATGCCAGCATTCCAGCCAAAAGGATGCTATGGTCAGTGGTATGTAGCCATAAGAAGTCCAAAAAAATAGCAATGACTTATTTTTAGGACCATTTCCAATCACAGGTCATTCCCCAAGGCAACCAGAGCAGAGTCTCATATCCCAGCTGAGAACCCAACTTAAGTCTGTGGTTGGTGGCTAATTTATGGGGTGATTCTTTGATGAATACATGGAGCATGAACCATCTCCCCATTTTCCACCCACATTGCCCTTCCTTTTTCTTTGTTTTCTAGGTTGACAATTTATCTGAGGAAAGCAAAAGATGAAGTGGAGGCAGGGGTGGGCAGACACCAGCAATTTTGGGAAAGGTAGAAAAACAGAATAAGCTATTGGCAGACTGCCCTAAATGTGGTCATCCAAACATAACACTAAGAATGGACTACATTTTAAAAGTCATTTTGCCTTATATTCATTCCCTATGAACACATTTATTGTTCAGGGTGATTTAAGGTGCCAGCAAGGGCCCAAAGCCACTGGCTGTTGGGCAGCGTACAAATTTAATTAAAGAAGGAATAAGGAATCCTGGCTCAATATGCCAGATAGGATTCTCACACCATGAAATTTGAAAGACTTCCTGCCTGGCTAATTATAAGAGGTATAGCCACGTTTGCCCATTAAAAAATGCATGAAACAAGTTAAATGAATAACATTTGCACCTAAAAATGAATTTCCTATTATTATTGTCACACACGTCAAATCAGCAAAGATAGAAGCTCAGAATATAACAAAACATAAGTAACATAAAACAATTTTTTACATAAGTAAATGAAAAGGTCAAAAAATGAAAACAGTCTTGAGCTTTCTGGGTTTTATGTACCAGGCATGCCTTATATTTGATTATCACAGTGAGTCTCAGGGGATCAAAAATGTTTAGATACTGAACTATTTTCAATAAGAGCAGAAATGCAGCTTTTCTGAATGTTGTTGCTGTCAAACTATTTGGAGGGTTCGCAGTGATTTCTGCTCAAAAGAATAATTTGACAACACAATATTGATGATGGAATGCTACAAAAGTAGATTATATGATTAAAATGTAGTGTATTTGTTGCATCAAGGAACAGGGCCATAGGAAACTGGCTTTGTCACACAGTTGCTATAAAACACCTGTCAAAATGTAAAAGTATTTCATTTTTTTCCTGAATTTCTTTCTTAATGTTACTCTTTTTTTCTCTTCTTCCATTGGCAGGTATGATTTTATTGAAATACGGGACGGGGATAATGAAAATGCAGATCTTCTGGGAAAACACTGTGGAAACATTGCTCCACCTACTATCACATCATCCGGCCCTTCTGTGTATATCAAATTCACCTCAGACTATGCCCGTCAAGGTGCTGGCTTCTCTCTGCGTTATGAGATCTACAAGACTGGTTAGTGTTCACCTGCTCTCCCAACCAAATCCTTAGGCCTCTTTCAGATGGGGCAATCTTTGGGGTATATTAATAGGCAATATTATGAATGTCCTTTTCAACAATTCCCCTAGTCATTCATTCATTCTCTCTCTCTCTCTCCCTCCCTCGCTCTCTCTCTCATTTTGAGTTCCTGAAGGAAGATTCAATGTAATCTATAATCAAATCATTTTCAAGAGTGTATGAGTTTCCTGAAAAAGAAAGCCTATCAGAATTCTATCTAAATTCTATCAGAAACCAAATCATCAGTTCTCTAGTGTCTTGGAAAATGCTAAATGTGTGCTGTATGAACAGTGAACCACTCATAGCTGTAGGATGCTTTTGAGCTGCTCTTGGCTATGAAACAGCCTTGCAAATTTGCACTTCTACTCACCAGTAAAGCAAAGGAAGTCTATTTGTTAATAGACTTATTGCTGGCAGGATGTTGGACAGCCTTTGTTCGGTTTCTTCTTGGAAATTCAGAAGTCCTGTCTAGCTGATTATTAAACTATTTCCAGGTTTCACTGTTCTGAGGAAGAGGTAATGGCTCTGCCCACCCTTTGAGTTTCTTCAGGAAGGTGTTGATGACTTGGCAAGCTTGGGGAGACTGTTCTTGGAATTGTTAGACTTCTCATATGAGAATGTCCTTATTAAACCTCACATTCATCTTGCCTTAGTTCTGCTCCCCTTACCAAATCTATTTCATCAACATTTTCAAAAAGTGACGTATTTCATGGCATATTGACAAGGTATTTTGGTTTCTAAGGGAAAGCAGTTTCTTCATTAAGTGATCTAATTTATTCTAGAATTACAAAGAACATATATTTTTAAAGTGTCATATAGAAAAAAGCTTATTAAAATAAAGGCTAAGCAAGAATGGTCCTCTCTTCCCATCCTGCCACCTCATGGATATGCAATTCCAGCACTGATCAATAGCTTTGTGTTTTCTTTTTTTCAAGAAGCCAGGTAATTTAAGTGGTGTAATGGTGGCTCAAGTGGGCTGCTGTTGGCATTGCTGTCAGACATCGCTCTTGAGCTCCACTATTCAGAATGCTCTTTTAATAATATTTTTTTAAAACCCTACTTTTGGAGAAAGTGAATCAGTGCCTCTTTACTTTGGCTCTGATTATGTATTTGCCAGATTAGAAAGTTTGGAGATGAAAATTCTGGAGTATAAATATAGTTTTTCTTCATCATGGCAGGCTCAGTGAGTCTTGAAAAAGAAAAAGTTTGTGGTCATAGGATCTGAGTTTTAAATGGAAATGCACAGAATTATATCACTGGTTAAAAAAAAGGGGTGGGGGAATAAGCTGTGAGGAACTGAAAAGGGCATGAGGCAAACAGCATTTCTTATCATGCCCAGAAATCTTAATGAATCCTGGAAGCATGTAGAGATTATACAGATTTGGAAGACTCTACCTCAGATAGATTATGCACATTAATCTACTGTATGGCAGCACATTTCATACTGTATCAGGTTAAGAAAGAGGTTGACATGACTTCTAGATCTGAATTTTAGTGATTTTGCTCTGGTAGAGGACACAAGCTGCTAGATTTCCAGACTATAGAGAATAAATACTATCCAAAACGCCAGTGTCACAAAATCTCAAACTCTGGCAAAAGTAAGTTGTTTTGATGTGTCTGTGGGCATTAGGAATAGATATTAATACAGAAATGATCCTTGAATTGGAAAATAATTTTAGTCTATCTTTACTTGGTTGGAGTTAAGCCTTGTTTAGTAAGCAAGTTGCCCTAAGTATCTCCTTTGGTACAGTTGTCTATGCAGTTCAACCTATTTTGGGGCAGAGGTGATCTGGCTATGCTATTCAAATGTGATCTAATTATCTTCAAAGAAACTTCAGAATCTTCAGTTTTGAAGATATTAACTAATAAAAAGTTGCTCAAACCAGTTTAATTTAGGGGTCGAGTAAAAGTGTGCTCTTACTTGTGAAGTTCTGGAAGGCTTAGCTCCTACATCAAATGCCTGTGTTCTCCTTGCAATTTTCCTCTTCACTCTGAATTCCCTTTCTATGTAAAATGCAGACTACTCTGGAAAAATCAAGGCCTTTGCCTCAATTGTCCATGGCTGAAATTTGAATTTCCATCTTCAGGCTCCTCAGTATATTTGAAGGGGGAGGCAAAATGCATTTTTACTCTTTCGTAGTAGTTTCTGATAGCTATTAATGGAATTTTTTTGACCAGGCCTAAAAGGCTTCAAAGATCTGTTTATAAATGGGGAGATATTTCTTCGAGAAAGTGCAAAATTGGAATACAAAACGGATTTATTAGTTTAAGATTAAAATATGACTTTCTGAGAGCTCTTAATTAATAGATTTTTTCTGATTACAACTGAATTACGAGTTTTTACAATTTCATTATAGTTAAGGAATCAGGTGTGAGAAAAAGATATTTCTAATTGAAATATTAGAGAAGGTGTTAAGTTACTGAAATTATTTCTACTTGTCTGGAGGGAGGAGGAGTCATATTTTACATATTTTCTTTTTTCTTTTCTTTTTTCTATCTCTTTGCACTTTTCTTTTTATGTTTTTCTTAGTTTTTCTTATCTTTTATCTTTGTAAACTCTGATATAAAAAAAGTAATTATTAGAATCATAGCATCATTCGGTGATGAGGATGTTGGTCAGTAGTGGGAAAATGTTAACATATTCCTGAAAGTTCTGTATGTGTTTAATACTGTAGAGCACAACCCTTTAAAATTGACTCGCCCTCCCCTCCCCAATATAATACAATAAGTATAATGTTCAAAACACACTCGCAAACTTTGTTGGTCAGTAATGTTAACAGATTTGATGATTTGTTTTCAGATGCCTGAATCAGTGCTGTTGAAGTTAAATTTATATCATCCAGTTAATTCTCACATATTTTGCATCGATTTAAATAGATTTAAATAGATTTCCATAGGCTTCTTTGCTCCTGTGTGTTTAAGTCCAGCCCTGTTTCTTCAAGAGAAGCAGAAGTCCGTGCAAATTGTTAGAATGGTCGTGGGAATTGTATTAACTTTTCCTTGGAAAAGCCAAGGGCGCAAGAGTGGTGAAAGGTAACCTTCTGCTACAGTTGTGGAACCAGAGGGCTTATAACATTCTCTACCCACTTCCCTCATCTTAGTGACCCGAAGCCTAGAGAATTCAATTGTCGATTGTCTGTTCTCTCCAGAGCGATGGCCTTAATGCAATCATGGCCTGAAGAGAATGCAGTCTCCTTCTCCCTAAGGCACCTTGCTCTGCAAAAAATAGAAGGCACTTAGCTGCTGAGGCACAATGAGGGCCAGTGTTGGGGTCATCCCTAAATAAATGGTAATATTGTCCCCACGGCTGGCAGTTAGAAAGGCATTCCTTGAGGATAGAAATAACTGGCATTTCAGTTTTGATGATTACCGTGGATGAAGGGAGAAAGGCAGCTCTGTTTCTCTTTTCACCAGAACCCTTCACACATGTCCTTCCTTTCCCAAGCAGTCTTAACTTAGTCATTGTTGAAGATGTGGCATTTTTCAAGGCTTAAGCTGCTAGTCTGCAGGTGTTATTTCCTGAGAATTGCCACTTGGATGGAAAATGAAATGGGGACAGTGATATTAATAATTAATACTTTTGCAAGGCAGGAGCAATTTTCTGCATGAGGGAATTAAGTGCTTAAAAAGAATGCTTATGAATAACATAGCACAGCCTGACTATGGTAAGGGAAGTGGCTAATGATGAGGTTAATGCGAGGCCTTGGCCTTCTTGTCTCTTTCTGTAGGCTCTGAAGATTGTTCTAGAAACTTCACCAGTTCAAACGGCACCATTGAATCCCCAGGCTTCCCCGATAAGTATCCACACAATTTGGACTGCGCCTTCACAATCATGGCCAAGCCGAAAATGGAGATTGTCCTTCAGTTTTTAACATTTGACCTAGAGCATGACCCTCTGCAAGTCGGGGAGGGAGATTGTAAATATGATTGGCTGGACATCTGGGATGGTATTCCTCAAGGTAAGGACTAAAAGATGCAATGCTGTGGTTTTCTTCTCTGGATGGCCAATGTCAAGCGAACAATTCACTTTGAGACTGAAGAATTATGTGACAGTCATAAATTGCTAATATTGTCATTGCTTTGTGCAATCTCATTTATTGTTGCTTTGTTCTTAGAAAGGAATCAACTCTGAAGGGAAATTAAATCTCTTTGTCTCTTACACTTGAATGTCTGCCTTTCTGAGTTGGTGCGACAGTGAAATCACTTTAGAGAAGAGTAACCTGATTTATATAATTAGATGAGGAATTGAAATCTTTCAACTCCTGAAGAATCCTGAACTTCTAGTTAGAAAAAAAGGACAACATTTTTTTTTAAAAAAACTTACACTTAGTTGCTTGCAGCAAAGTTCTGCATATAACTATCACAACAATTTTTTGTGGAAAAGGGGCTGAAAAATATTCTCTATTAACACATCATTTGTGATTTACATGTCAGGGAAACAATGCATGTGTTAAAAATATAAATAGCTCTAAATTAGTTGTTTCACAAGTACATAAATTCCTGTTTGTTTTCTGTGAATATCTATTAGGGTGTGGGTGTGGGGGACTGAACAGATACACAATAGATACTTTACTGTGTAGTCATATGCCTTTTCTTCTCAGATGTCAAATTCTGATCAGTAGGATTTACTTCCAGGTAAGTTCTATAGTTATTTATCTTAAATCACTCATCAATTAGGATGCAGTTTGAAATGATAAAAGCTGTCCTATTAACATTGTGAACCAATGTTGAAGGTAGGCATTTTAAGCAACTCGTGTGAAATGCAAAGGTTTATTTATTTCAATACTTGCCTATAAAGAAAAGCTTCTGCAAATCTGTGGCATAATACATATTAAGGCTGTTATTTAAAAAACATTTATAATGTTTCATTTTATCTGGTTGACATATTTATTCCTTCAACTGTCTATGTCATTTTTCCAACCAAAGAGAGAACATGCCTATGAGATGGTAAATAGTATTTTTCTTTCATCTCTTCTGCAGTTGGACCCTTGATTGGCAGGTACTGTGGCACTAAAACTCTTTCAGAGATCCACTCAACTACTGGCATCTTATCCCTCACATTCCACACAGATTTGGCTGTGGCTAAAGATGGCTTTTCTGCTCGCTATTATTTGGTCCAGCAGGAGGCACCAGAGAGTAAGTTGGCAGGTTGTTCAGTCTAAGTATTTTCAAGACCTGTTCTAGACCTACAGTGTAGTTAGAATTTATCTATTTTGGGATATCTTTTCTGATCCTTACATTTAGAGGGGAGAAGTAACATTTCAATAATTTTAGCACTGATAGCTGAGATTTGGAATTTGAATTTCATTAGAGCCCTTAAATTTGGTTTTCTATTACATTTTGTCCTTCTACCCCAAATGGTGAGATATTGGAACTAAGATCAAAGCTTCAGTGCCAGTATTTGAAAGTGCTGTAGAAACTCTAAGTACAACGTAAAATCTCAATATTTTATTTTCAAAATGAGACAGTTTAGACTTGGGTTCAACTGTTTGTATAGGAAGGCACTTGAAGCTATGATTAGAATTCGGGAATTTGAATGCTTCAAACGTTACCAATTGATTCTTTGTCTTTTGTAAGATCTCAGCTCTTTTTCATATATGTGATATTCTGTTACTCTTGTGACATGTTTAGAAAATGGAAAACACAATATGGAACTTCTAGTTCTCTTAAAAGCAAGGCTTCTGCATTTTCTATGATAAACGTGAACATTGCCAGTCCTGTTAGGAAAACTAAGGCCTCAATCAGCATTTTCTTGGAATTAGAGAGCAAGGACACTATCTGGCTGCCTTACAGTGTAATAACGTAGGCTCTCAAACTGTGGTTGCAATCACCAGATATCATGAATAAATATGATAGGGATCACAAATTGGGAGGGACTCGCACACTCAAAGGAGGGCTATTCTCAGAACTCACTCCTGTTTTTCCTGGACAGGCCAGCGCCTGGTTTGTCTAAACCAAGTGGGAACACAGTCTGGCAGGATTCCTGCTGTGCCTGAACAAGCTAACTGATAGATTGCAGCTGTGTGTGTTTGTATCAGAACCCTGTGAAATTGCATTTTTTCTCTGTTTCGACAACAACTATTAGCTTGTCCAAGCAGAACAGGAGGAAATTCATTCCCGCTCTTGGACAGATCATCTGCTGGCCAGAAAGGGTGGGAAATTCAACCTATTGGAAGTGTTAAGAATGGGCATCAAAGATGGAGACCTCTGGAAGGCCTACAGCTTTCATTCTTGTCCTTAGCACCTTCCCTCCACATAGACAGAGGAAAACCAATTTGCAATGGAGCGGATTAATGTTGAAATGGACCCCAGGCACAGTTCAGAGAAAGAAAGAAAGAAAGAAAGAAAGAAAGAAAGAAAGAAAGAAAGAAAGAAAGAAAGAAAGAAAGAAAGAAAGAAAGACCCAGAGATGACCCAAGCCTACCTATAATATCCTCAAAGAGAGGAGAGTTCCACATTTCTGTTTGTTCCTCCTCCATTTCTTCTTGTTTGGGATTTATGATTAAAAGTAAGCTATAATCAATACAAAATTAGTCTGCTTATGGATGTTTTGATCTAATTTTCTTTCTTTACTATAAGAACAAAAACAATGTCAAACAAATTTCAAAAACAATAAAAAGAGACAGGTATGTATGCTGCAGAAAAGCTCTTTATTAGAGATGGTTCGATAATCAGCTCTGGAGACTTTCACAATATTTATTTCACTTGCAAAGTGCAAAATTCCCAGCTTTTCATGCAAAATTCTATAATTTTCTCTCTGCAGTAGTTGCATCACAATTGAAAATGGATTTCATTGGGCCCTGTATCCTTTCTTCTGAATGCTGATATTTAATTTATAGATCTGTAGAGGTAATTCTGTGCTTCAGCAGCCATAAACAATTTGATTTGATAGGATGTTGGGAGGCAGTTGATGCCAATGTTTCATTTAGGAGTGGAACCCACAGTTCTGTAGAAGAGTTTCTCTTCAGTTTCATATTCTTCTACCTTTTCTAGACTTCCAGTGCAACAGTCCACTGGGAATGGAATCTGGCCGGATCTCCAATGAGCAAATCACAGCTTCCTCTACATACTCTGATGGCAGGTGGACTCCGCAACAGAGCCGACTCAACAGTGATGATAATGGGTGGACTCCTAATGTGGATAGCAATAAAGAGTTCCTGCAGGTATTTTCAGTTTCTTTCACAATAGCCTAGAGTAATGACACCTATACCATGTAGAAAGATTGGGAAGCTATAGTATCAGGCTTCCTGCCAGTTACCAGACTCTTCAGTCAATTTTTAAAAAAAAAAAAAAAAAACCAGAATCTTCAACTGGCATTCTTTTCTCTAAAAAGCTTGGATTTTATTTTTCCATTTGCTGAGACACATCGTATGTCGTGGCTAGGACTGTCCCCTAGACCTTTATGTTCTCCCCCTTCCCCCACAGCTCATGTGTGTATTTTATCCTTGAACCAAATGGATTACCCTGCTGTTAAATCAACCTTAGAACATGAGCCTTGTAGGGTCTTTGTTGCTCTTACTGCAAACTGAGAGCTGTGAAAAAGGCTTGAACTGTTGTTTGGGAAAGGGTACGTGACTCTCTGTCTTCATGAACTGTTGGGGCTGTTAACATTCCTGCAGAAGTTCTTGGCTTGACCTGGTGCCCCCTGAACTTTAATGGGCTTTCCAGAGGCCAGAGAGGGAGAGGGAGAGAGTGGGGAGGACGCACGCTACCACTTATAGCCTTGTTGATTCTGCAGCGATCTAAAAGAGAGAGACTTTCTCATGTGTGTTGAACCGGTATAAGTAGAATAATATTATTCTTCTGGGGGATTTCAATGTTCAACAAATGGAAACTTCAGTAAGAGTGTGTGAAAACAATGCTTTAACAGGGCCTACATCGAACCAACAGATGGTGGCAAAATTGGTGATTGCAGTGGGAAGTATTAGATGGCACTTGCCATTAGAGGGGGAAAAAAAGAGAGGTCCTCATTAGTTATAGATGCCCAATTCTAAATTGCTGGGCTGGCAGATTGATCTTGCATGAATCAGACCCATTGAACATCTCTGAAAAGCATGAAGTGAACATCATAACTTCAACTTATGAGTGAAAATCATCCCTCCTCAATATAAATTGGCCTCTACAGATGATGCAGTTGATAAACAGCCTGTGGTTTAAGTTTGGATTTATTTGACTTCAGTAACAGCAGAATCAAAGTTTTAAAATCCTTTACCAAGCTCAGCATATCCTTCCCGAACTAGAAAAATTCCTTTCTCACTACTGAAATCTGCAACTGACATAGCAAAACATTGGGAGGTTCTACTCTGTAAGACTAATGATACGCTGCTAAGGGAGCATTCAGCCTGCTTATGCTCAAAAATGTTTGCACTTGAATGCTGCAGTACATTATTATTATTATTATTATTATTGCTTGCAACCAAGGCTGTGACACAGTTATGCCAAATATTTTGTGAAAATCTAGTGAGATTTTATCCTAGAAATGTTTACAGTCCAATCCAACAAGAAAGAGACGAGCTGGGGAGGCAATTCCAAAATGTGCTATTCTAGTTCAATTTTGGAAGCTGTAACAAAACCACAGACTGAAAACATTTCCTTCTATGGCTCACATGTTGCTGCATCTAGGAATGTTAACTCAGCTGAAAATTGATCCTATTAACTTCTTATACTGGGACAGCATTTAGATAGAATAGGAACTCCAGACATGGCCAGTGGCAAATGCTGAAGCTGCATCAGAGGGATCTGTTAATATTGAGTTATTGTTATGCTAATTTATATTAGCTGAGTACCAATCCTGATTGTCAGACACATACTCCTGAAGCAACTACAGCCCAGCATGGGCTATTTTGAGGAACCCACTTAGCACCATAGGCTTCTTGTGTATGTTGTTGATATCTCTCTGTGGGGTTCAACTGGAAGGCATCCCACAGTAGAATGATGGGCTCATTACATTTTTATGACAGTAACTTGCTAATTCTCTCTCATCTTGGTCTGCATTTTCATTCAGTTTCATTAAAGTGTCACAAGAATATTATATCTGAAAGAACCTCAAATGTTTCAGGTAATGGGAGTAAGTCTGTTGTTGCTAATCTTCTTCTGTCATCATCCCCTGCTCCTACAATAGGTGGATCTTCGCTTTCTGACAGTGCTCACAGCCATTGCTACTCAGGGCGCCATTTCCAGAGAAACACAAAATGGATACTATGTTCGCTCATACAAACTGGAGGTCAGCACAAATGGAGAAGACTGGATGATGTACCGGCATGGCAAAAATCACAAAGTAAGTGCTTCTTCTCCTTTCTTTAAATAATTCCAGATTTCAAAAAATTATCTTGATAGTGGAATGGAAGATCTCAAATCTGTAAGGAATCTTTGGCATTTCATTCAGCTTACATCAAAAGATGCAAAAGATGACATTCTCTTCCCAAGTCATTTTTCTTCTCTCTTGAAACATGTTGAAGTAGTGGGCAAATCTTGAAATGTTCCAGTAATCTGATTGCCTTTCTGTTGCCTTTGAAAGATTTTATGAATTGGGAAGGAGAAAAGGCTGTTATGCATCCGTTCTTCCCAATAGTGTGACTGTAGTTGTGATGGTGGCTGGATTGAGGGAGGGGAGAGAAGTTCTGAGGAGTTGAGGGCCATGAACCCTGTGCTTGAACATCCATTGGAATGAAGACAAGGAAGGACCAGTTGAGCCCATCCACAAATACAGCCACAGCAATCCCAAGGAAAATTGCAGTTTTGTAGTAGACCAGAGAAGACGCAGAAATAAAACAGAGAATGCTGTGAAATCAATCAAGTCCCAAACAGAGCTTGAGGAGGAGCAAATTTGGTGTGATACCAAGTGTGTTTTTGGAAAACACACTCTGGTGAGCGTATAGCTTGCTCAGTGGAGGGAGAGTTTGCAGTGTGCTTTCTGACTGCCAATGAAGGAGAAAATGGTCTTGCAGACTTTGTTTTAGTACACAAGATTCATTGAGCATTAATGGCCTGAGCCTCATCCACATGCTGGGTTAACAATCACAAAACCACATGAAGCTGCACTTCAGGAATTATTGAAGCCTGGAAAATGAAAGGGCACAAATCCTGAGAGAGGATCATGATGTCCTAGAGAATAAAGCCAAACCATAAATAATAAGGAGCAATCTGGTTTGTCAGGGATAAGGGGACTGTAGCCGCAGTGCTGGCTGGCAGCGATGCATGGGGGGGGGTGTCTGAGTCCGTACTTGGCCTGCCTGTAAATACAGCTGCATTGACCCTCCCTGATCTTCCCACCTCTGAATGCATAGTCTGTGCTCAATGGGGATTTGGGGCAGGGGAGGGAGGGAAGTAAGCCCCTTCTTTTGTGCCCTGGGCAGGTGTGCCAGAGGGATATCAGTGTGGAGCACAGCTGTGTCTAATAAAGCTGTAACTGCGGGGATGGGGGGACAACCAACAGGGAGCTGCCACTGATCTTTGCTTTTTCTTTGGAGACACTTCTAAATTAATCCTCAGTGCTGTGCTGCAGAACAGTGAGCTACCTTAGGTCAAAGGGGAAAAATCCCTCCTCTTTTTTTCCCCATGAAACCCTCACTAAAGCAGTTGCTGCCTCCAGGAGAGACGGGTGCTTATCTATTCCAACCCCCACCCCCACCCCCTGTGTATCTCTTCTCTGTTATTGTCAGGGAAATGACAAAGAAGCCCATTTAAACTGTTGCTTTCAGGTGAGAGGGAGGTCTTTTGTCAGTTGTCTGAAGGGAATGGTGCCACGGTTTCTCCTATTTCTCCAAGAGAGACAGGCTACCCTTTCCTACTTCTGAAAAGTGCCAGGCCTGCCCAGAACTGGTCTTGCAGCCAGTACAAGAAAAGAAAGCCAGAGCAGACTGTTTTCTTCCAGTTGAGGTGTTAGCCACCCCTCCCCCCCAAACAACAACAACAAAAAAGCCTAGAGAGCAGTTGAGGACATTTGAACTACTTGTTCAGTTCATGTTCCTCAAGACTGCCTTTCTCTTTCTATGGTCCATTGATGTTCCAGTTCCTTGTGTTCCTTGGATTTAATGTGATCCTTCAATTGGGGGACCTTTGAGATCTCGGGAGGCTTGGAGAGGAGGGGGTTGGACAGGGTTCCTTTAATTTCCACCCACTGGAACCTAAGTCTCTCTGCGTTGCTGTGGCTTTCTTTTACTTAGTAATGCCCAAATGCTTTTTGCTGAACCTGAGCCAACTTTCCAGCAGGATTCAGAGAGAAATGTTTTATGTATCTGCAGTGGTCATGCATATGGAGAACAATTAAAAATCGTGTTCAGGAAAAGAAAAAAAAAGCAATAAATTCCCTGAATTTGAATTTGGTAAATATGACATTCACAACAAATTGAGGCGTGAGGCTATTTTTGAGCAGACTTTGGTATCACCTGATCTCATTCTATTGATTTAGCATAGTACAAGCTTGTTTGCTAGGAGCATCAGTTATGTAAATGGTTTTTAAAGGTTTTTAAAATGGTTGTTAACATTAATCCAGAAATATAAGCATCCTATAGGTTCTCAGGAAGTGTGGCATGGAAAGGCAGGGATCATGTCCTCATGGGTATGCCTGTGATTCCACACTCGAGGGCCTTGCCCAGGGAAAGGTGGAATCTTTCTGTATTTGGTTGAATATAACTAGGATTGCTTCCTGTCCTCCCTCGACCTGCCATGCATTCATATTTGGGAAGCCTGCATGATGGGGATTATGAACAACCGGGAGGATTTCTAAGTATGTTCAGCCAGACTTGTGAGCTTGTCCCCTCTGGATCATTCCTTGCACTGTGCAAAGGGGTTAAAGCAATGCTTATGAGAAGAGGGTTGGTGTGATAAAACTGGCATTGTACACACTCCACATATATTTTCTCAATCTGTTTACTTTATGTCTTGATAAAATTATAATAGGCAATTGACATTACACTAGTTTTTAAAATTACTTTTATGTATTTTATAATCTCTGGTTCCATTGCTTTAGATGCTTTCAACATTTAATTTTTGCTAGATGTTACCAATTTTAAATTATTTAAATTACCTTGAATTTTCAAAGTGCGTTGGAAAGACTCAATATAAATCTATCTAATGAATAAATAAATTAGCAAATAAACTCAGAAAGTTGGATTCTCTATGAATAATGAAGGCTAAAGTGTGAAAGTTGCCTCAAACATTAATTTTATGCCAATGCAGGTTTTATATTCCAAATATTGTGCAGGAAACTTTCTCCTGGGCAGGTGCCAGGTGTGTACAAATTCCTGATAGAAACTGATGCTGTAGCCTTAGTATTCCAAGACTGGTTTCCTGCAGAAACTCCATGGCTCAGGCTGAAATAATTATGCTGTGCCAAATAAATTTGTCAATTCTGCTGCAGCTTGATTTGATGTTAGACGGTACAGAAAAGGGGAAGATGAGAAGATGAAGAAGACGGTCAAATCCTTTGGTAGGGTGAATGAGATCCAAAGTTAATGGTGCTATCAACACGTCTGGTAAGGCCCACATGTCCAGGAAGCTAAGAAAGAAGAATAAGCTTGTAAGAGAGTTTGAAAAGAACGATAGTATTTTTTTCCAGAAAATAAAGTAGTTCACCATCCTTACTTGCAGTTTTTACAGAGAGAGAGAGGGAGGGAGAGGGAGGGGGAGGGAGGGAGGGATGGGGGGACAGAGAGAGAAAGATGGAAAAAAGCAGGGAGAATTTGAAGGCTAGCATATTTTTAATCTCCCGCTGCTGTCAGGGTTGAAACTGCACCCAAGCCAAGGGATGTGAATAGGTTTTAGGAAGAGGAGAGGAAACAAGATAAATGAGAGTGTATAGCAGTTGGGGACAGCTGTATCCTTTTCTTTCTCCAGAAAACAATACTGGATTTGAGGGCAGAAGAAGGGGAAGAAAATAAAAAGGGATTACCATGCAACCAACACCTGCCAAGAAGTGATGGAGCTCCCCTAAACATCTCCAGTGATTTCCATCTCCATCACGGCTCTTACCTTTTTTGCAGGAACCTGACAAAGAAGCTGCAGGGTAGTGGATAAGTCTCCCAGGCACAAAGCAATTGGTAGCATCACCCAGCCAGCACTGGGACAATATATCAGAAATGGAGACAGGCTTTAGGGTGCCAAAGATGGTTGAGAGAAGGGAATCAGCAGAGAAAGAACATTTGACAGTGTCAACTTTCTGACAGAATTCCACGGCCCATATCAAGTACGGTCACTACTTGGACTTAGAGTACAAGGCAGAGAAGGGCAGTCCGAGAATCCTCACGTGCCATCCGTTTCCTGTACCCACTTGCACTGTCTTTGGACATGCAAAGCACCTGTCAGAGTTTAATCTGCGAGGGAGGGAAACGTAGATCGACACATGCACATACACACATACACAGATTTATTTTTTTTCTCAGACTCAAACCTTTATGTGCATATTAACATTCTGGCATTTAGGAAGCGCTGTGTGATGTGAGAACTGTGTGATGTACAAAGAACGGAATGACATTTTTCAAGGCCAGAAGCTCCTTTCATATTTCCAGAAGCTTAGGTTAAATTAGTTCACTCTGAATCTCAGTGTCAATTCCATGGCCCAAGAGGTGAAGCAAAACTTGCCCTTGTGTGCTTTGAAATGTACTAGAGAAAAGAATAGACAGAACTGCACATGATAGCAATGTTGATAGGCAACTGAATCACAAGTGTTTTTTAAACACTTAAAACGCTTGTGAATAGCTTCTTGATTCCTCTTGTATACTGCTTATCCTCCTTATCGTCACAGCAGCACTGTGATGGGCTGGAAGATTGGGGAGTGGCGGGGGGGGGCGGGATTTGATAGCTGGTGTGGCTTTCAACTGAAATTCCCCAGCCCCAACCTCTTCCTCCTTTGGAATAAGCTGTATACATTGCGCTGCTTCTTGATTTGGTAACGCATAGGCAAAAGAAAAGGTTGCCTGCAGCATTAATGACTCTGTAGTTATTTTTGCTACTTGCTTTGGAATACAGAACTGGGGAACTCATAGTTGGCTCACAGTATATGAAAGGAGGGCTCCATTTAGTTTGGAGCTCATCAGTTGTGCAGCTCTGATCCAACAGTTTTTCATACTGGATCAAAGTAAGAAATATCATTATAGAAAACACTTGGAAATATGATTGTTTTCATGTATAGAATGGCAGATAGATGCAGAGGATGGATGCAGGATCATCTATATAAGGTTAATAACTTGGTTAATTCCAAATTAATTTGTTTGACTTTTCACACAGGTCAGACTACATAAAAAAGAGTCTGCCAAATGGACCTGTGAGGGAGAGATG